GACGGTGTGGCACGGAGATCGAGGGAGAGAGAGTGGAGGCGACTGTCCGCCTCTCGTAGGCGTCGGACCGGCTGGTCCCATCCCACCACGCGCAATAAGGCGTGTATAGGCGGTTTTCCGACTGTCATCGTACACGTCGAGGACGGGAAGCCTGAGTTCAAGAATCTATACCTCGGGGCGATGGACGGCGGTCGTCGATGAAGGCTCGACGTCAGGTAAGGGATGAGCACATTTTAATTAGTATTAGTTAACCAAATTAATTAACGTAATTATTCTTCTTTTTAATTAATCATTTATAAATAATTATAATTAATTAAAATAATTAATTAAAATTCATTAAAATTAATTAAAATGGTAAGTTATAATTAATTCTAATTAAATTAGAATTAATGCTAACTTATTAATTAATTTTAATAAATAGTAATTAATTAATAATAATTAATAATAATTAGTTTTATAAATATAACTAATTAATAATAATTATTATAATTAATTTTAATTAATTAACATAATTATAGTTAAAATCATATTATATATATATAATATTAAAATCCCTTCACGGGATTTGGCTAAAGAAGGCGTGAGGGGTGGAATTACCCTCACGATAGGCGTGCTCCCGTTCTGGCCTCCGATCCAACTGATAGGGAATGTCGTCGGGAGCGGGTCGCCGGAGGAGGAGCGGGTCGGAGGAGACGCCGGCTTGGACAAGAGGTATGGAGATCTACCTCTTCCTCTCTCTCTCTCTCTCTCTCTCTCTCTCTCTCTTTCACGGGATCCGGCCGAAGAGGTGCCCGAAATGGAGAAAGTTATCTCCACAGTGAGCGGGCGGGCGCCCGTTGTTGTTCCGACTAAAATGTCGGAACTTCCGATCCTTTAGGATCGGCGGAAGGGAAGGCCGCAGAAGGTGCGAAGTCGGACGGCGATGCAGGAGTCAGAGAGGAGACGGGGTCGGGGGGTCCAGAGATCGGAGAAAAGGGAGAGCTTGCGGGATTCGGTCAGGTGGTTTGTGGTCGGGATCGGAGAGAGAGCAGCAAGACGTCGGGTGAGGAGTTCGTGGAAGAAAGCAGGGAGCGTGGAAGGAGTTGGAGAAGCAGCGTCCAAGAGCAGTGGGTTCGGCTTCATTTTATAGAGGCGAACGGGGCTCGATCGAGGAGAGGATCGCAGGATTCACGCAGGAGTTCCGGGAAATAACGCAAACGGCGCCGTTTTGCAGAGGATCGAGCGGGATTTCGGCATGATTTCGTGGATTCACCGGGTATTAGGTATTTTTCGTTTCTTTTCTTTGAGTATTACACGTTAGTCAACAGATATGTGAAAGAAGTACTCGTACGAGAGGTTAATGACATGGGAGAATTGTTATTAAAGTAATTGGTTTATTAAAATCTAATGTCTGATACATATAGAGAATCTGAGGAACACTTGCACAAAAATTGACTCAAGCGTAGATTCGGATTGTTTTAAAAAATTTCAAAAGGGTAAACATTTGGCAATATTTATAATCTGCTTCTGCCAAATGTTTGAAAGTTCCGGACTTCAAAATAAAATCTGGAGATATTGATGATGTTGTTTAGGTAACACGTCTTTGGGCAATTACATTATATGGTTAAATGAAAATATTAATTTCTCTGGTTTATTGAATGGAGGAAAATGTTCTTATCATGTAAAAACTCGTTAATTAGTGCTTATAGTCACTTTGTCATTTTGTAGCTCTCTTGTAATTTCATTAATTAATCAATGCTTGCCTTGACTGGCATTTCTTTCTTATCTAGCTATTCATTTATTTCTCTTGTAACAGCAAGAGAAAGAATACATCTTCCAAAACAACATCAAAACAAGAAGTAGAGCTCACAATGTGATCCAGAAGATGCTAGCTAGCCTTGGAGATCCATATACTCGTTTTCTTTCTCCTGCAGAAGTAATTGCTTTTACTTTCTGCATATAAAGTATTTAATTGATCATTCTTCTGACTAAAACTATAAATTGGCTTTTTACTTGTTTGGTTCTCATTGCTAGGCTTTTTGTGGAGGCATGATGTAAACAATCTCTGTTCTTCATACTATTTTCTCTTAATGATTTATAAATGGTATTTTTTTAAATTTGTGGTTTAGCCAAGTTGTAAACTTCAGATTTTCAATTTTTATGGACTTCTAGTAAGTTGATTTTACATGGATTATTAATGAAGGTTACATAAAAATTTAGTTGACATGTGGGGGTGGGTTTGGAAGGTTTGGCTAGAGGGGTCTCTACTGCCACCTTTATGAAAGCTTACCGAATAATTTTTTTGATTTGCCAGCAGTTGTTGAACATCTTGTCGTTCTTTAGATGTTTACTATGTCTTAATTCACAAGAAGTTGCATATAATTCGTTATTCTATTCTATTTAGCTAAAATAAGTTATTGACGGGATGTTGGGAAGCACCTATTTTTGCAGTTTCAAGTAGAGATTATATCCACACCAATTCTTCAACATTGTTTGTTTTAAGGGAATGTTAGTTTTGTTCAAGCACTTTATTTGAACACTTTCATAACATGTCTTTCAAAATTGCAGCTCATCTTATCCCTTGTAGGTTCAATTTAAGAAAAAAGATTTTTTACATCAACCATATCAAAAAGGGTTTGCATCAAATTCAATGACAATGCATTATTTTGTGAATGGCAAAAAAACAATGTTCAATGGGGCGACCTCGGACCTCCTAATCATTATATTTCAAGGCAATGTGGATCTAAAATAGATTGTGTTATCTGGCTTAGGATCTTCTAGCTTATGATTAATGAAGGTGGTTTGGACTTTGGAGCTACTAATGAAGGTCGTAGGATCATATTAGATTTTGATCTATCTTATGATTTTGTAATTATTAATATCTTATTTAAGAAAAGAGATGAGCATCTCATCATTTGTAAAATGAATATATTAAACTCAGATTGATTATTTTCTTATAAAAAATAAATTGTTTGGATTACAAATATTGTAAAGTAATTCCTAGTGAAAGTTTATGTACTCAATATTGCTTATTAGTTTTGAACTTTAAAATAAAATTGTAAAATATAAAAAATAAAGTAAATTATTATTCTAGGATTGGATGAGGATATTTAAAAATGCTAATAAAAATATTTTTGAGAGTAATATTTAAGATCGTAAGATTTGTATTGTTTATGTGAAAGTTAATGTTATGTGGGATAAGTAGCATTGATATTAAGAATGTTACAAAGTATATGCTTTGATTATCAAAAGAAAAAACTCCTAATAGTAAAAAAGTTGGCAGTAGAATCAAAATGTGTATGAAAAGATAAAAAATATAAAATAAAAAATTTATCATAAAAGTTTGTTTAGATATAAAAGCTCATAAAATTAACAAAGATATAGAGAGGCTCGTAGAGAGTCTTAGAAAACAACTAATATAAGATGCAAAAAAATTAGCTTGTAGTCATTTTTTGCATTTCCAATGAAGACACTATTTGTTTATTTTTTTTCATAACCTTTTTCATTTACGTGCACGGGTACATTGCTTCTCTAACTAATATCATAAGGAGGTGTGCTCCATCAATCAACATACACATTCAAACATATCTATCTTAACCATATAATTCGTTTACTTTCTGTGAAAATATAAATCACAACATATTTATTTTCATTTGATTCAACATGATTAATAATTGGATATGAGAAAGACAAAGTATAATCTAGCTTGCAATAAATACTTATTAAGAAGATATCACTATATTTCAATATATTTAATTTAAGATAAAACAAAATTATTACTGTAATTTAAAGACATGAGTTCTTACCTTGATTCAGATGTTTTAAAGTTCCTCTCTTACTCCTTACTCTATTGTTGATATGATTAACACCTATAAAAATGATTCACAAACTTTCTTACTTGGTTTTCAAATATTACTTAACATCTTAATTATCATATGTTATTGAATTTTTAAATTATATTTACATATATACTTATCTCTCTCTATATATTACTAAAATTAAAAAGTAATATTCATAACCTATTAATTATTAAACAATCATTTTAAAATATTTTCACTCTTTTACTTATCCTCTATCTATATATTTGTTTATTTTAAATAAATATTCAAATTATTTCATATATTGATTTTGTAATATGAATTTCGCTCTTAAACCATTAATTATTTCAATAATTAGCCTTGAAATCTTATTATCATTAATTTAAATTTAACATCAAAAGATAGAATCATGAATTTTAAATTAACTTCAATAGCATTTCAAATATTGCATTTATAAATTTTATCTATAATAAAATTTTTAGATAATGTTAATTTAATAATTTAATTACATATTAGTCATCATCAAGTTTCAATCTAAAATCTAATTTTTATTATTGTTATTTAATTTAACTAAATATATGAAAATTTCTTTAAACACTTACCTTTTCTTAATCTGCTTGAGTCCTTGTCCTTGCCCTTGACCATGTTCTCCTCTTTTACTCAAGCTTGCGCATGGCCTTATCCTCTCCTTCGCTCAACTCCTCGCTTTCTCTCGATCTCCCCATCGTCAGTAATGGAACCCAAGAACTCTCTCTCTCTCTCTCTCTCTCTATTTCTTTCATTTGCCTTCTCCTTCTTCTTATTCTCAGCTGCTGCTTTCATTCGCTCGTTTGATTCCACTGGAGTGAAATAATCATAGTTATTTCCCATGAGGAGTCGCTACTTTTTTGTTTCTTAACACTATTCTTCACTTGTTTACGCGATCTAACCCACCGGCTGCGCTTGCTCGCGCTCGACCTGCTCGCTCGCTCGCTATCTACTAGCCCGCAGCTCATTTCTCGTCCGCCGATTCGTCTGAACCGGACCAGCCGATTCTTACACAATAAATGTATAATTATAATATATTCATATTTTATACAAAAATACATATTTAGGAATTTTTAATTTTTGAAAATTAAGAAAAATTACTAGAATCAACTCAAAAATCGAGTTGAAATCAATCATTTTTTAGCTCAACTCATATTTAAGTTGAGTTAAAATAATTTTTTTTAAGTTTATGCAAATTCATATGAACTCAGCTCATTACCACCGAGATATATTCTTTCATGAGAATTTTCATAATGAATAGTTACATCCATTCATGGATATTAGAGAGTAAGTTTATTCATGAGTTTGGAAATTTTCCAGTCATGCGAAGAAGACCGAGATTGAAAGCTTCATCTCCTCTCATTTAACGATTAGGAGCTACTCTTATAAGCCACTTAGTGGCATTTGGGCATGTGCAGATAAGCTGCGACTTCCCTCTAGATCATTGTTTGCGACTTCGCAGGTAAACCTCTTCACGTCATGAAATTCCTGTGGTTGTTCCCATCCCATTTCACATCTTGCCTCTCTAATCGACCTCTGTTACATGAGATCATATGCGAGGGCCATGTTAGCTAGGGCAAGTTCTCAAAATATGATAATAGAATTACAAATTTATTAACAACAAAAATAAAATGCCCATGTCCAAAATACTCTAAATTCATGCCTCCACCGTGACTTTTGTGAACATTGCTGTGACATTTAACATGCAATTTAGATCTGGCTGTGACATTTAACTTGCAATTAGATGGAAAGACTATTTTGACCCTTATTTAAAGCGTCTAAAGACCAATTCAGGCCTTTTATATAGTTTGGGACTAAAATGATCCTACATAGTTAGGAGATCATTTTGACCCTTTTCTCCTTTTAAAATAAATGATAGTTTATATAAGCAATTTGCGATGCCATTCAAATTAATAATGAATGTCCCAAGTATGTTCATGAGGATTATGAAGCATTTTTTAAGATAAATTATTGGAAAATTTTTTGTTATTTATTTTGTTGACATTATGATTTAAAAAAATATAGGGGAAGAACATTTTGTATTAAAAAAGGCTTTGAGAAGTTATAAATTTAAAAATTGCATTTAAATATGAAAAATTGCAGCTTCGTTATGCCATCAATTATATTCTTGGGATTTGTAATGCTTATTGATGAATTATCAGTTGACATGAACTTAATGCAATTATAGAATGGCCAACACACCAATATCAATGATAGTTAGAGTATCCATGATTTGGTTAAGTTTTATCAATGATTTATCAAAGGATTTAGCTCTGTTATGCCACCTATTACCAATGATCTTATGGAGAGTTTCAATTGATAAAATCTATTGATCATGCCTTTAGTGACATCAAAGAGAAATTTCTCATCGCCTTTGTGCTTAGCTTGCTTGATTTTAATAAAGTTTAAAGTTTTATGTGATGTACTTGGCATAGGGATTGAATGGCTATTAAATCTGGACGGACAATGGATCACTTGTTTTAGTGAAAAGTTAAATAAGAAAATTAGAAATATTTTATTTATGAAAGATAGTTCTATGTTGTTGTGCACTTAGTATTGGAGACATTATTTTTCGCCCAAAAGTTATCCTATATCCTATATTTTAGTCGCTAGGCATTAAAACATTTGGACTTACAAAAGAAAATTGGGCCATCAATATGTCAAATGGTTTGAATTCCTAAAGAGCATATGATGTTAAAACATTGCTTTGGAGCTTACAATAAACTAGTAGATACCTTAAGCAAGGTTATCATTTAGCACACCTTGCAAGTTAAGGTAACAAGTTTTGGTACTATAAGGAAGAATACATAACTAGTGCTTCATTTATCCTTAATAAATATTTCATGATCATATGGCCTTCTTTTCAAGGGAACTTTAATTTGCATCCGTCATTTATCTCCATGAGATTTCTTACCTTTGACCTACATGTTGGAGGTGTTGCATGACATTTTTGATCTAGATAAAATTATGGCCATGGTTGAGGATAGATATTATTGCCTAAGTTTAAAACAATGGTGTTGTGTGTATTTTATGACAATGTAAAATATCCCAAATTGCTAAAGGTAAGAAATGCAATCCTAGGCTTTATACA